TCACCCTCCAGTTATTCAAAAACAGCATTGACACTCAAGCGAAGCTCAGATTGAACCTCCACTCTTTGAGTGTAAGTGAGATTTTAGAATACCAGGCTATGTCCGACTTCATTTATTCAGTGCAAATTATAAAACTCAAGTATTCAAATATTTCAACTAATCAAGACTCGTGCTTGCGGATTGAAAGCTATAATTTGCTAAATATATAAACAGCTTTAGCGCCGTCCCAGAAGTAAGGCCTCCCAAAAAGATCAAAGTAAGACAGTAATATGAAGATTCTTGGTCGCTGTGTGAACAAAATTACCAACACTGTTGGTCAATAAAATATTCCTATAGGTGAATTTAAACTGGCGGGGGTCTTCAACATCGGTAACAGTTTTCACAACTGCTGTAAAAATAGATTAACGCCCGTATTCTACAAGCTCACACTCAATGAGTGGAGGTTCAATCGGAGCGTCTCTTGGCTGTCAATGCTGTTTTTGAATAGCTGGAGGGTGAGTAGTCACATTTCAAAAACAGCAATGACACCCGAGAGAAGCTCAGATTGAACGAACCTCCACTCATTGAGTGTGAGCTTTTAGAATACGGGCTTAAGTCATGCCATATTTGGGCCCCCACTACATGACCACAACCATGCAATTACTGAAGCAAATCTTGCATTTTTGTTTTTCAAATTTTTCAATTCAGGGAAAGAAAGTGCAGTAAACGGAATTACTGAGCCTCAATTTTTAAAATTATTCAAATAGACAAAATATTTTAGGTCACTATACTGGTACAAATAATTGTAAATCATATTATATCATGCACACAAAAATATAATTACCTTCCAACTTATTTAAAACCTTTGCAATTTAGCTGAACTTGTCCTTACTAGGTAGTTCTTAGTACAGCCATAGTTAGCCCAGTTCTTAGTAACCAATAAATCTTGAAATTGTCCAAAAAAATACTTCTTCTATCTTCGTACTAATACAAGGCTACTTTAAAATCAATTTGCTCGGCCGTACTATCTGATGATTGTGTTGTTTATAAGCACGATTCATTAATCATTGGCCCCATACCGTTATAAACATGTTTTGTGATTGGGTGATTACAACAATAAAAGACAGCAAATACATATAGCATACCATGTAAATTTCACACGTTGTAATGTTTTCGTTTGGTAATACATTTTCATAAAATATGTGTGGTATAAAATTATTTGCTGGGTTCCTTTTTAAACTAAGGTTTCCGCCTGGTGTAGCAATTAACTACAAATATTGAAAAGACAGCAATCTACAAAAATTTTTCTTTCAAAAAGCGAATCACAAAACATGTTTATATTAGGCAGGTAGATGTAACTTCTGGCAGTGACACTATACTCATGTAAAAGTATCATGTAGGGGCACTCCAGAATGAGACACAACTTTGGTTTGTACCAATACCACTTTTTAAACTCTCGCTGGAACCGGACCTAGTCACAACTAGTTCTGAAAGAAAGTTCCTCCCGTTCAGGCAAAAGCATATACTCACTTAGGCCTGCCACCACTATATTTCTATTATATTTTCAAATAGTAGTTAATTCTAAAATATACAATTTTGATTGGTTAACTTTCCCACTAACTGTAATTAAACTTTAACTAGGTTTTCCATGCATGCAACCGGCCCCTGGGCTATAAACTATCAACAAAAGTCCACCGGAGTTCTCTGTCGTCTTTTCTAATTCCACCTGGTTCGATCCGGCTTCTTCTCCGCTTCTTTTGTGGATTCTAGGTCAGGGCCTGCCTGGTGATGTTTCATGCTGGCTTTCTGAGAATGCGACCAATCCATCTCCGGATATGAAGCGGTACTCAACAATGATGTCAGTCAGCTAGACATATTTAATAGTAAAGAATGTTTGCCAAAACGTCGAGCAAAGGAATTGAATAAGAAGTCCTCATAATATAACTCAGTGTATATACATCAATCAATACATGCATTGTTACAATAATGCAATGCAGTTTTACAATAATGCACTGTAACCTTAAATTATGTTGGTGATACACTATACCTTCGTAACGTTAATTTTAACATAGTTCCCGCTTCGGCCAAGCAGTTGAGTTAGCAAAAAATCTTCGGGTATATTGCATTCAAATCTTGAAATTCATTCGTGAATAGTCGAAGCTGCCCGTTGTCTTCGAAAACGCCGGGAAAGAAAAGATTTTTCTCGCCATAATTTTGTTTGCATATTACACCAAACTCTTTCACTAGTTCAAAAACAACGTTCGAATTAAATGTCTCGCAAACTTTATGACCGGAGACGCACAGAGTGAAGGTTTTCGATCTCATATCAGCACGTACTTCTACTACAAACCTTGTAACATCTCGGGGTGGCTGAGTACTGAAATTTGGACAAGTTTCTTTTGGAGAAGTTTCTTTTGGCTCTTCATCTTGTTCAAAAAGACGGAATCTACTAGCGCTTTTGAACAAATAGCTTGACTTCTCACGCAAAATTTTGCATAATTTCTCATGCTTTGAATAATGGTTTTCTTGACAAGATTTGTTGCAATATGCAGAAGTAAAGCACTTTTCACACCACTCCAGTTCGCACTTCTTACGACAATTTGAGCAAAACGGAACGGAAACATTTAACATGCCACCTTCTTTGTTATGGTAAACTTCGTTATCTTGGCATTTTGCAGGTTGAAGGCAATTGACAGACTTCAAAAACGACTTCCTTAAATCGTCATTTTTGTACTTTGATCCTTCAACTTCAGACGAACGTACACTTTCAATAAATCCAAGGCCAATATTATCGTAAATCTTATTCAGTTCAACGACAGATGGGGAAAATTCCTTTCCTTGAGCTCGATGATATTTGCCTCAGAATTAATCATGAATATTCCATCATTGTGATTGTCAAAACCATTATTACGTATAAGCGTGACATTCTTTGAGTCCACCATAGAGATTCCCGAATGATCATTATCGTGCATATCACAATTAAGCACGACACACTTCGACGCGCTATTTAACGTTAACCCATCTTGACCATTGTTATACATGCGACTGCTTTTCACAATCAACGTTCCGCCTTGGCGCACTTCTAAACCAGCTTTCCTGTTATTGCAAAAGGAACAGTCAACAACAACCGCATCACCTGCTCCAGCACATATTAATCCTGCGTCATCGGTGCTTGTGAAATTACAATGTTCTGCATTGAATTCCCCAGAAGTTGATACAGCAGCCATTTCCTCACCATAATCATACGCAGCAAAGTTACAGTTAAAGACTTTGACGAACGAACCAGGTATACACATCAGCTGGCTATTAATCAAATGAAACGACAGATTAGTAAGCATGCACTTCAACAAGTAAATATTATGCCTAGACATCAAAGAAACCAAACAATTTTTTCTTGTACCAACTAGAATACAGTCGTTCCAAATTTCAGGAATTTCAAAATTTAGAATATATTCTTCTGATCCCAGTACCAAAATCTTCATCAAATCCGCTTCTATTTCCTTCGAAAAAATCGCTTTTCGAAGTTCATCCACAAAATTACATATAAAGATTCGTTTCTGCAGGGCCGCGAAAGATTTTTTGAATGGTAAAAAGTCTGAGAATATAGCTCTACTGTGATAAAAAGCTAAAGCAGCAGCTATTTCAGCACTGACTTTCTCATTCAAGCCATCAAGTGCCAGAGCTTTTCTAGCATAACCCCTCCAGCAATCTGGACGGCGCGTTATGTAATCATTCGCATCTTTTAAAGCATCTTCGAATTGCTTTAATTTTATGTAAACCGTTGCACGATTAGTAAGCAACAAGGGATTGAAGAAAGCATTATTGTAATCTTGAGCCAAATTAATTGCAGAAGAATAAGCGTGTAATGCTTCTTTGTGACGACCTTCTTTGAAACTCTTATTTCCATCCAATTTCACTTTCTCAATTTTCTCTTTCAATTCAGAGCCGCTAGCTCCAGGACCAGGATTTTCAGGTAGAGGTCGATGTGACACAAAAGGAGGCATACAACATCTCTTAATTAGGATCTGAAATGACTTTGGTAAAGGAATAGAAAGTAGAAACAAGGAATTATTTGAAACATTCTTTTCCATCGTTTCATACTCTGCCAAAGAAAGCCAGTCTAATATACGATAAGCAAAGTTCAAAGTGCGCTTTGCTTCTTCCTGCTGGTGATTTGCACTCAAATGAACAGCACATTCGTAAAATATTTTAGCTGTTTCAGGAAACCAAACGGAGTCTAAACAAACAGAGTCGAGACTTATCAACAGGTCCTTCATATTACTGCGCAGATGATGACCATGTATACAAAACTTAGACCACATATAATAAACAGAAGGACTCGTAGGTAAATCAGAGAAAGATATCTCTTGTTCTTCATCATTCATTTCACCTGGGCTTACAAGACTACTGGGTGAAGAACAGTTAGAAAATGCATAAGAAAGCATTCGCACAGCGTCAGTGAAACTCGCTGCTTTCGATTCAGGATTAAGACTTTCTCTGACTAGTTCCTGGACTAAACGATGGGTGTTGACAGAGTGCGCTTGAACATACGTAAAAAGTGAAAAGTCAGTCAACAGCTTTAAAATCTCAAGGCAACCCAATGGCGATGACACACATTTACGATACGCGACGTCCTCTACTTCGGGTGTTCCAACGTTGATTAATTCTTTTTCAATCTCATTTCCATCGAAAAATGAACAAGCATTCATAAATCGAACAGCAGCCTGACCATCCGGGCTCTTCTTCATATACTCCATATTGATAAGCCATGTCGTGTGAACGGCAAGACGTTCAGGTGAGTCGTTACCTGAAGCACGTGCTGATTGCCGATTCAGCAATCGCAAGCGTTCAGCTTTATATTGCTCTAGATACATAGAGAAACTACACCCGCGTGTTCGAATATAACCTCCAGCTTGTTCCAAAGCAAGTGGCAGTCTCCCCAGCTCTTCACAAAGACTTTCCACGTCACTTTCGACATTATCTTCACGAACCACGTTAGTTCTGGAAAAAACAAACTGTTTTGCTTCTTGAGACTGGAAACATTTCAGTTGAAGACAAGAATCAATCTCAAAAACCGAAACTTCGTTAACCAGTCGTTGTGGATTCCGTCTAGTTAGCACAACAAAATGTGCAAAGATATTTTCTTGAGAAGGACAGGAAAGAAACTTCATCATTTTGGGCGAAAGTTCCAGTTGATCCAAGCAATCGAGGACAATAAGACTTGGATAATTTGAGCTGCTAATTTTTTTCAAGGTATTTGACAAAGTTAAATCAAATGAACCAATTAGTGTATTAAGTTTTAACGCGATGTTATTCACTGTGTTGTCAAGAAACGTATCATCTTCAGCAGAGAACCAATACACACCTCCCTTGTAGAAATGTTTCATCTGATGAGCATACTCACAAACTAAGCTTGTTTTGCCAATTCCACCCAAACCACATACTGCTGCAACACGAACTTTCTTTTCGTTCGAAGTTTGGTCAACTTTCAAAATACGTTTGAGCTCCTGGACTTCTTCAATTCGACCAGCGAAATAACGATTGCGCAGGGGTGCAGTGAAGACATAGGGAATTTTCTCCTCTTCCTTCAATCTTGAAAGTTCATTCGTAAATTTCTTCTCCAGATGTTTTATCTCTTTAGAATTTTTTTCTACACTCACGCGCAGATCGTTTATCTCCTCACTCAAGTTTGACTGTATCTGGGTGATATTCAAAATGAGTGTGGTCATCTGCAAAACGATAAATATTTTACCATAAATTCTTAAATATTTGAATTGTCGGTACAGTATGTTTACATAAGAACTTAATTG